GCGTTTTGTATCATGTAACATTGTACAGTCGCGTTTTGTATCATGTACCATTGTGCAGTCGCGTTTTGTATCACTGTGTATCATGTACCATTATACAGTCAGGTTTGTATCACTCTGCGTATCATGTACCATTATACAGTCAAGTTTTGTATCACTCTGTGTATCATATACCATTGGTTAGCGTTACATTAGATATATATTTTATAACGATTTTACGTCGTTTTTGTATACTTGAGTAGTCCTTTTTTCATAACCTGAGACTCGTACTAAAATTTCGCTTTTTTCCTTCTTCTTGTGCCTCTCAGTACCCCAGTGAAAGCCTGCAGGTTTACGACGCGATAAATCGGATTTCAATAACACTAACTTTGGAGGGCAGAGCACAGATAGCCCACTGTGCTTAATAACAACTGACCAGCTTTTTTGCATGTTTTTAGCCCTTCAATCACTGTTATTACATGTACTTTTAACTAAGTAAGGTGTTTCTGTGCTGTTGATTTCTACTTCTGTATTTAGCTGTAAAAACTGAGTGCTTATACGTGTTTTTCTGACATTTATAACAGTTGCTTTTTATCGGAGACTCCACCAACAGAGGGATGATGCATTACGTCATGGAACGCGTAAACGGAACACTAACTGAATGGGACAAGACGCACGATATACGAGTGTACAACAACCTAAACAACGGCCAGACAACTGTTAGTTTCGCTTACTATCCTCAATTTTGGCTACCGACCAATCAAAGACCAGTGTTCGATAAAACCCTCTATCAGCTTTTGCAACGGTAAGCTCTGATCTCACAAACAAAAATCCTACAAAACAGTTCTGTTAACAACGCGGTGTGTGTTGATTCCTAAATAGATTTCTAACACATAACACATTGTTCATTTTAAATGTTAAATCTAATTAATTTGTTTTGCACATAATAAATGCACGTGTTGTATAATTTAAAATAGTACAGCTTATTTCTAGCACTTGCATCATTTAGTTAGTCTTAACCAAAGATCCAGTATATTTTCATATTTTACCATATTTCTAAAACTATGGCCATTACTGCCGTCAAGTCAAAATTTCTCACCATACTCATGAAACGTCTGTCATTTAAAACGTATCCAGTTTGTATTAAAACTGTTATGAAACGTCATTGTACTTTAACCTGTAAATCAATAAAAATTATTATGTGGATTATTTCAGTTCTAAGCCTTTGAAGAATAACACCGACACTATACTGATCGTAGGTGGCGTCCATTGGCTAGCTACTCAACACCTACATATGTTGATGCGCGCTCTAAGAGGGTAAGTACTAGGAATGCTTTGATGCAAGATTAATCTCTTTGCTTTGTATCACAAGTAACAATTTATGTACAATATGATTATAAAGAAAACCCCACATTTAAAATAATTACCTTATCTAAATTTCCTCGAGTAACAAAATTTCATCAGAGACACACTGAAGATCAAAGGTTTTTTTCTCCTTTCAGTTTAGATTTAATATGCGGTATTTTAAAAGAACAGTGTGCCTCATGTCTGAATATCTTTTCTCACAAACTAGCACAGCTATTAATCTTCTCTCTCTCTCTTTCAAAAGTACTATATCGATGTTTGCAATAAAATGGGTCTCAGTTTGCAGGATACTGCAAGAATCAATGAATATGACCCTTAAAATATTGTGCTTATAGCCGCTTCACTTAAAAATAGGCATGATACATAGCCTACCAATAAGTAACAAAGCGCCCCCGAGGATACAAATCAACCATCTCCATTACGTCATATGAAAATAACCCAGACCTATAAGTACAAGCATAACTTTGTACAGGTCATAGAATAAAAAATGTCATGCTACAAATGAAAATATCTCAGAATTTAACCATATTTTCAGGAATCGTATAATTGGGCATAAGGAGCGCGATCAAAGTCAGCAAGAAGGGATCCACTATTACTGCCTACAGTGAATAGTGACAATGCAGTTTCAGCAAGACGAAGACCCTCTTGTTCATGTGTGGTCCACCCTTGATCGGTCCCTGCAAACGCGCTCTAAACAACCAACTTCTGTATTATCTTCTGTGTAATCCCATAGGCTCAGATTTCAGATCTTTTACATACGATGTGTAAACGTGTTTATCATTACAGAAGACAGATCCACTAAATACTAATGATAATTTTTCATCATTTGTTTAATGTTCATAATGTGTATAATGAAGGAGAATGGCGGAAGGCATTTGAACTTCTGTGACGTTTGTCAGATTGGTCAAGCTACACAATACATTTTCCTATGTATCTCATCACTAGTTGAAACAGCCCACATGATTTATTTGGTTATATGTCTCGTCATTAGATGAACTAACAGCCTGTTTGATTTACTGATAACATATATCGTCATTAGATCAATCAGCTTACTTGCTCTCTTCGACAATAACTTGCAATTAGGTCCATGAGCTTACACGTTGTATTGAACTATACAACTCATCATTAGGTCGGCCAGTTTTATCTAATCCTAAAGTAAAATGGCCACATAATTTCTTATTACTTTGACCTGCCCATTTAGTTTATCGTCTACATATTGTTTAATTAATTTGGTCAGCCTACGTGTAAGGTCTCCCAAAAGTCGATTGTTTGTTTGTTTATTTACGCGTAGAGCTTCCCGAGAGTTATCTGCGCTAGCTGTCCTTAATTTTTAAACAATAGACTAGATGAAGGCAGCTATTCAACACCACCCACTGCTAACTCTTGATCTATTTTTTTCTAACGAAAACTGTAACTGATCATCACACCATAACGTCCCCTCCCTGAAAGTGCATGTTCGGTGACAGGATTCGAACCCACGACCCGCAGATTGCAAGTAGAGCGCCCTAACAGGGCACTAATCACTAATAATTAATTCTCTAGCAAGGTTACATAATAAGAAACCCCAATCTATTGACTAAAACCTAAATGAAATGAAGTATTAGAACTATGACGTTAGAAACAAAAACATGTGACACCATTTTTGTGAGACAGCATTGAGGTTTTATTAGTTTTGAAGGTAGTTTTTGAAACACTATGGTGTATTGTACATCCATATTTTTGTTCTGATACAGAGAGAGGCTACAAGGAATCAGACTAGTGATGAAAACCTTGGGAGCAGGGTTCCATCAGCCAGTGGACGAGATCCATAGTCTCACTACAGTAAGCCTGCCTAAATTTATATGTGGTGATATTACCGACATCATTAATGGAGTAATAAAGTGATTGCTTTAGACAGAATACTAATGCATTTGACTCTAAAAAAATACATATGTTTTTATTTAATAGATGCATAAACGAATAATCGAGCGATAGTCTTAGCTTACCGGCTTTAATTAATGAGTTAGTGCCATCTTAGAAAACATTTGAACAGAACAATATCTTCCTTGGTAAAACATGTCATCTTTTGAAAAACTAGTAGCATTCTATCAGTGTGGAATTTTTGTATTTGTACTTTTGTATTTATAGAAAAGCTACTAAATTTGTATTTTAAACTACTGGTCAGATGGAAGACAGTCAGGTAGCAACACCCTACCATTCATCATCCACGCTAAGGGATTGACTTTTACTCTTATAACGTACTCGCAGCTTAAAGTGCGAAGAATAATTTATTGTATCGCACGGATTCAAACTAGGATCGCCAGCTTTGAAATCCGAAACTAACCATAAGGTCAACCCGCGTTACCCATTGTGAAAATCTATTATAATAAGAATAAATATATCCTAACCCATTGTATACCGTAACACATCAGATCTTTTAAACTTACATTTATGTGTTATTTTTTAACAAATTTAGATACACTTACTGCTGTTGAAATCCACTTTTTCAAAACAACGGTGTACATCTTACTACAGAGTATCGCCTGTGAAAATACATTCTGGCATAGTACGAGAATTAAGTCACTTAGAAATAGTGAAAAGTCAAGAAACCATCAAAACATATGTATGTACTAATATTTAATCAGACACGTTTTTAGTAATGTCTTTTTCATGAGGGTTGATCAAAATGTCACTACTGAAATTAAAGCTGCTTAAAAAAGGATGATGCTCTTTCAATTCCAAATGGCGTCGTCTGTGAGATTATGAATCAATGTAAATGTTTGAATCTTCCATATAAATAAATTATAATAATTTAAGTCACATACAGAGCTATTATATTTCAAATTTTTAATACGAATAAATACCTAAATTTATGTACACGTATAAACGCGCACAAGAGATGGAATTGTTACACAACACACCCATGAGAAGATGAAAATGTACGTATCTTAAAAAAGAAATCACGTACGTAGTTTCCTAGACATTACAACTAAAAATAAAAGTTAATCATAAAGTTAACATATCCTTTAACGTTTTTTTCTTTACGATAATAATAAAAACTTAAGAAAGTGGTGTTTATTACGTACTTCAATTAATTTGTTTTTACTTTTGCAGACAGAACACCAAAAGCTAGTTTATCATAATTTAGGCTTAGCAGACTTTGCCAAACACTATAACTTTGAAGTTATCGACACTTTCAACGTCACTGTGGCCCGATATAAAGACTTCTTGCAGGGGAAATGTGCATGTCACTTTCACAAGGTAAGTAAGTATGAATAGTAGCTGCTTTAAAAGAAAGGAGTGAGCAACATCCTAATGTTGCTGAAAATAAAGATTAAAATGAACGTAAAAAATTGACTAATGAAGTTCCCTTGTTGAATGCTATCCAGTTTCATAGATTATTGATATCCCTCGTTAACAAATATTCTACCAGTTTCACACGCTGTCGATCTCCCTTGTTAACAAATATTCTACCAGTTTCACACAATGTCGAGCTCCCTCGTTAACAAATATTCTACCAGTTTCACACAATGTCGATCTCCCTCGTTAACAAGTATTCTACCAGTTTCACACACTGTTGATCTTGCTCGTTAATATATATTCTACCAGTTTCACACGCTGTCGATTTCCCTCGTTAACAAATATTCTACCAGTTTCACACAATGTCGATCTCCCTAGTTAACAAATATTCTACCAGTTTCACACACTGTTGATCTTACTCGTTAATATATATTCTACCAGTTTCACACACTGTCGATCTCCCTTGTTAACAAATATTCTACCAGTTTCACACACTGTTGATCTTGCTCGTTAATATATATTCTACCAGTTTCACACACTGTCGATCTTCCGCGTTAACAAATATTCTACCAGTTTTACACACTGTCGGTCTCCCTCGTTAAATTTTCTACCAGTTTCACACACTGTTGATCTTGCTCGTTAATAGATATTCTACCAGTTTCACACAATGTCGATCTCCCTCGTTAACAAATATTCTACCAGTTTCACACACTGTTGATCTTGCTCGTTAATAGATATTCTACCAGTTTCACACGCCGTCGATCTCCCTCGTTGACAAATATTCTACCAGTTTCACACCCTCTTGATCTTGCACGTTAATAAATATTCTACTATTTTAACACGTTGTTGTTTAAGACTAACAAGAAATATTTTAATGATTTTATCAAATATTGTGGTTTGTTATTATTCACTGTAGTCAAATATGCTATTAATAAAGAATGAAATCCCCAAATTGGCGATTTGTCTAACCCCATCCTTCATCTCTTATTTTATATTTTACCGAGTTCACGTGTTATTGTCGCTCGTTTTTTTATATCATTGACGCCAAATATTTAACTACTTCAACGTTGTTTACTGTTGTGTCACTGAAATCAAATACTCAACAGCTCCTACACAATGCCGTCTATCGTTATGTTACTGTCACTAGATATTGGCTTGATTTCACACAGTAATGTTGTTTTGGCATATAACGCCTTTTGCCAATAAAGAGGTATCTACTGATCAATATGTAATTTCATAATACGACTGATAATTGTTTAAAACAAAAAATGTCTTTCACAGACCCTATACTACGGGTTTCTAAATAAGATGAACGTAATTACATCTCGACCGCACGCCGCCTCCGACGAGGCCGTTCACTCAATACCAGAGGTCATCAGGTCAGCTGGGAATGCTAAAAACTAAGCTTCGTTCAAAACATTTTGATAAGCTAGGGGTATTGAATGAAAGTACTCGCCGATAGTGGCGTGAGGAAATGATATCATGTTCTTCTTACTTGGAAACCTGCAGTATATATAAATTTGTAAACAATTGTTATCAGTCTTATTTTAACGTTATGTTGCACAAACTATCCATCAATACATGACATTACTGTTATTTTGTGACTATCACCAATTTTGATTTCATACGTTATTTACCTTTTATCCTTGTTTAAAAAACTATCCTAAAGCTGTGAGCTATTAGTAGGGGAAAAAAGATATCTGATTTTTTTTAATCAAAAGGGTCGCGTGATATAATGCATTTCGATTGGATCACATGTAAAGGAATAAAACCGCCTTGAAAAAAGAATATTAGGAAGTTGTTGTTAAGAAAGTACTATGTTATAACCTAAAGATAAGGATTAATTTCATGCTTTTGTTGTTGTTAGGTGGTCGAAGTAAACGATTCCACCAGAGAAATTCGAGCATGGAGAAACCCAACAAAAAAGAAAATTCGTTATCACGTTGAAGGCACAATCAACGCCATCTACAGTGAGATCCTAATCAGCAGACTCTGCAGTAACTTTATTCCAAAAAGATGATTTTTGAAAGTAAAAGTTAATCCAGAGTTATACAAACAGTAAAGAAGGGTATATCCTAGTTTTAAACATTTATCCAGAGCATCCTCTGAATAACCACTGCTATTGAATGTGTTGCTTTGGTAACGAGTTGCTAAGTCTATAAAGCATATCAGTTGCCCAATGAACAACATTCAGAAAAATCTGCCCTTCACAAAGTCTGTAACTGAGGGATTCGGAAATTATCCTTGGCATAGAAACTGTGATAGTTTAAAATAATTAAACTACATAGGATTGTGTAGTTGCAGAAAATTGTTGAGTCCTCAAAGTGAATAGGATAATTAAATGGTTCATATGCCATGAATGTGGTTGAAAACGGGTATACGGAAGATGAAAATTCACTAAATCGTACACTGCACTATTAGAAATGTATAGAGAATATTACTATAACCGAGTTCTTAGAGTAGAAAATAGCACGGTTTAAATATATTGTTAGATATTTTATGTCGCATAGGTAGACATGCCAATTAATCATTTCTTCAGTCGAAGCCTCCATCTGGTGGCCACGACATACAGCTCTGGATCTTTTAAGATTATATTGGTGAACCGACTTGAGTAACTCACAGTCATCATTATGGGCAGTGTTTCCATACAATGACTAGATAAGCCGATTTTTTTATTCCATATCAGGATATCGCTTAAAAAGATTTAATCGGGAGATATTCATTATCTATTACAAGATACTGTCACAAACACAGTCGTCAAAAGTCACAGAGACATTACGAATGTTTCGGAGCCTTTGATTTTCATAAATGTTTTTCTAGCATTGAAAATAATATAAATATTATATGCATATACATCAAACGAGAAAATTACATTTATGGTGACTTTCTCTATAAAGCAACAACCACTCCATGTTCGCTTTCCTCTCATGAAACTAAAATAGCATTGATTATTCCACTCTGATACCACGTTTTGTTTTAGCCTCCATGGATCATCATTATTTAGTTCAAAGCTTGTTTGTTTTTCAAACAAAGCTGTACCCAAACTCGTTTTTAGTTTGTGGGTTCTGCTGTCATGCTAGAATAAAGTACTTTAGGTAATTTTATTATACTGATTAAAGGACCCTAATAATTAAACCCATTACTGTTTACGGATTCTACAAAAATCTACCCTGGCTATAATAATGTTTTGACTCAATAAGGCAAATTTCGTTCCACTTCAATACGTAGAGTTCTACTCTTTTGTAGAAAGTTCAACGTTTTTATTTGCAGATGCTGCATTGTGACAGGCAGTCCATTCTTCAACTGAAGTGGACATGGTTGGTTTTCAATATTATCATAGCTGTGTGGTTTCCCGAAATTCTCCAAAGTTATCTTGTTCGCATATCAACATTTTAGTTTTCCTAATCACCCATCATTGTTTTGTAATGAGCTTCCTACAATCCTTTTTATTTCTTACAAATTTTCCAAAGTATTTTCCCTTCTATAAATACTTTACACTTTCGCATTGATATTTTGATATGTCACAAATATCCATTATTAACACCATACACAGTCATATTGATTGTATCTGAAAAACAGTTTTACATCTGTTGTAAATATTTAGTACTTTATTATGCTTTGTATCCTTATTAATATCAACTATAAATAATCCATGTATCGCTATTAATAATATCTTAATATTATTAAGATATGATTTATAAATAGATAATATATTCCTATTAATATTATTATTATATCATTTAAATATCACAAACAAGTAATCCATGTTTATAAACAGAACGTTTCCTCATAATTCCTGAATATCTATTTGTCAGTTGTTAGAAGTATCCCTTCAAATTCTAAAAGCTGTTGAATATTTACTAAAAAAATTACATTATTTTCAACCTATGCTCTTCGTTTCTGTGTTCAAACTTTCCAGAAAATCACTCACTGTCAAGATATATTGGAAAGGAACGAGGACGAAGCAAAGATACCGTGCGTGTTTTTGTGCAGTTTAAAACAAATTTTAATAGTTATTAAGGACATTTAATAACGTTAATCACTTTGTTCTCATGTCACCAGACACAATACACACGTGCACATAACTTGTTTTAAAATTTAACTCTTACACCTGAACTTGCTCATGAGAAACCACGTGCTTTACAGTGCACAAAGAATGCGAGACCTTCTAAACAGTGCCAAGAGAAGCTGAACAAACCCGGTCAAATGCAATAAAATAATTTTGAACACGTTGTAGTGTGTGTTGTTTGTTCTTTGTGTTGCCTCTGTGCTTATTTTATTTGAAATAAATCACCTTTTTTTTTGCTTATTCCAGGCAAATATTAAAGAACAACCAGATACATGTGAAAACATTGAAGTTAACTGTAAAGTTTTACCACATTTGTCAATTTTGTATATAAATGCAAACAACTCGTGATCCAATAGATTTAAATTTCCGATCGATTTTCATATTGTTGACTTAGATATATAAAATCTACCTGAAAAAAAAACAACAAAAACATCCATTAGGTCCATAATGTTACTGAAGTGTATCGAAAAACGTATGAAGTTTCTGTATATATTTTTCTAATTTTTGCATTTGGACTAAAATCATATAAACCGGTTTAATCTTGTACCATTGTTAGAAACTGCGAAGTCATTTTCCAAGTACCATGCATATGTGATGAATCTTGCTAAGATGAGGATAATAAATTATTCACTCCGTCTACAAAATTCCTTTTTGAATAACTTTTAAGGGATATGTTTATAAAATATACACGGAAGTTGTTTCATCAAAAATTTCTGACAATGATTATTTTATTTTAACCACACTATAGCAAAGTAACCGATAATAATTTTCTGTTATTGCAAGCTAATCGAGATTAATTAGCACAAAATTATTCAAGAAAAGATGGTTTGTTTGTTTTAGAGCAAACCTACATTGGGCTATACTGGGTGGGAATCGAACCCCGGATTGTAGCGTTGTAAGTCCATAAAATTAATGCTGTCCCACCCAGAGACGAAAAAAAGAATGTTGGTCACATAATAAATCTATATGGTTCAGCTGATATAAGTAAAATGTAACAAAAATAATATAAACAAACTGAGCCAAGCTCTTCTATATCAATCTTATCAACGCGATTTCCGTGTTTAAAACGTTACATTATATGAAAAATACAATAAACCTGTAGTGTTGTTGGCATATTGAAAATAAAAAGTGAAATGCGCTGTTTAAGCAAATAATAGTTGGATTTTGTAACAATACAGCCAAAACAATGCAAAAACATTGTTATAAGATAATGTTAATTAGTTTATTGTTATATATAAACACACACACACACGTTTATAATGGTCTAACAATACTGTTTCTTTCATCACTTTGAAATTAATCACGGAGTTTAAACCGTTCACGAATCATGTTTGGACTTCAAATAAAACGTTTTGGGAATAACATTTAAGGAATTTGATTAAAAAAATATATACGCACGTTGTTACACCAAACATCTCTGACAATTATGTCGATTCTGGTTCGACATAGTCATTGGGTAAAAGTTCGATGAATTCGATGTCTACAGCCTCAACTGAACACCATGTGTTAGAAATTGGCTTCAAAGGGTTGACCTGTAAGTTAGAAACCCAACGAGATTTACTACACTCATAGTAAAACACAAACAACTTGCCTGCAATGGTGCAAAGAACAACGTTCGGTAGTGGGCCATCCACAGTGGATCAATTGATGTTATCCACATGAGTTGCGTTTCACTCTGCAGTAATATAACAGGATTATACTCATTCAAACTGGAACCAGATTCCCCCCCCCCCCATTTAATACAGGAACGTGATGTATATAGTCGTGATAGAAATGTGGCGTGAGCAAGAACAAGCGTTAACATACTGATCTCTACATCCTTTGAAATGATACCATTAAGGCCACAAGTATTAAACAAATAATAGGGATCACATCATAGGGTTTTTCCCGCTGTCATATGGTGGTTCAATTTTCTCTGATTCACACTAACAGGTGATAACGTCCACCGCCACCACGCCAATCTGGTTGACATATTCTTTGACGAGATTGACCGAAAGATTGATCTTCACAATCACCGTACTCCAATCCTATCGAGTATGTATGACTCCGGACGCTAAAGATATACTAAAAACCACTCTTTCAGAAGAAGGTTCATGAGGATGACTCAAGAACTCATCAACACTGATTTTCAAGTATGAACTATCGACACCAGGCTGTTCTTGCTGTTCATGAGACTATGTTATATACTGAAGAAAGGTATAAAAAAAAACAACTTAAGACCACATATACCATATTATTTGCATTCCTGATCACATGACTGATCATCAGACACCTGATCTTCATAAAAGTAATTAAGGTGTGTGATGGATATTATCTTATATCAATTGTTTTTTGCCTTACCATAACTATGATAGTGAAAATTACGATTATCCTTTAATTGTTTCGAATAAGAACTGAGATTGTGATGTATGTGGAATATGAGATATAAAGAGTAACTTAAAATCCCATCATTCAAAACTTTTTGACAATGATACTGTCAGTTCTTTTTCAGAATCAGTTTTATTGAATACGATTACGTTTGAAACTACGATGAAAACTTGACATGTTATTGTTTTTAAGTTAAATATGAATGATTACTTACTCAATTCTTAAAATTGATATTTACATTTCGCATTGAATGCAAATTCTGTGATAATACTTATTTTTTATATTCACAATTAGTTTAAAAAACAAAAACCAAACTATAAAACTTAGTCTTTCAGTTGCTTATTTAACATCCAAAACTGTGAACGCGTTGACATCTAAACAGATGTCTCAGAGCATTGGAATAAATGAAGTCCAAGTTTGAATTACTAGCGAAAATGCAACACCAAGAATTTCAAAACTAACAAAAAGAAAAGGGTTTTCAAGTTTCTTTACCCATCATTTTTAAGCGGGTACTAATGCTTTTATGCGGGTAATAATACTTTTAAACAGGTTGTTATTCAGTAATTAGTTATTTTTAGCACTTTTAAATACTTACTTTTCATTAACATTTGCGGTCAAATTAGTATATTTATTGCAACAGTACTTCTTTAAATACACCATTTCTAGAGTAATACAAAATAATTCTAACGGCAGACATCGAAATCAATAAGTCAATTTGTCTTAGGCCTAACATTATTTAAGCCTTTATTAATAAGCACAGCCTATATTCGATAAAGAGATAAATTAACACTGTAACTTGTGTATATTTTTTGTCTGTAGTTTAGTTAGGGTTAAAGTTCTACGTACTTAGCACTATCAGTAAATACACTCATAATCTTGATAAAAAAGAGTTAACACAAAGGATCACATATAAAGTGTAATAGACTTAAAATAAGACCCAAAACTCGAGCGCCCTCGAATAGTTGACTATTCTTTGTTTTCCTGAAGAA